AGTAAGAAGTCTGCGTTTTCGTTGTTGTGAAGGAGATTATTATAATTGTACCACAAAAAGGCTTGGAAGCCAGGTGCTTTCCCAGAAAAGTTGGAATACTGGGGGGTTTTTTTGTTTGGTTTTGTTTTGTTTTTTTGTTTTGTTTTTGTTTTTTGTTTTGTTTTGTTTTGTTTTGTTTCGTTTTTTAATTAATAATATATGAAACAGTGTGTGCAATGTATCCTTTCCCCAGTATAAAGTTACTTAACTACTGAAAAGTATGATGCAGAAAATAAGTTATTTTATCACCGGCACTTCAATAACTTAAAGCACAAATACCCTTAAAGGAACACTAAAAAGCATCAAGACAGCTGAATAGTTTTAAAAGCAATATACCTCACAGCTGTACTTGGTTGCGTGTCTAGAACTCAGTCCATGACTAAAATTAAAGAATGACTAAGCCCAAGAGATGAGTCTTATGGAGAAGCAAACTTGAACAAAGGAAAAAGCTGAGACTGAAAATACCTATAGGAAAGAAATATGCAGGAGATGAGGCTGTGCATGCAAAACTGGTTGGTTATTGGAAATAGACATACTCGGACTGTCAGAAAGATTCTGGAATTTTGTCACTAAGTAACAGGAACAACAACAAATAAAGAACGTTTGTGGAAAGACTGAGGTGGTGAGAACCTAGAAGATATCACATCCTTGTCAATCTTCTTAGGAACAGAAAGATTAATCTTACACATATTGCCTGAAATGTCTTCTCTTTGATAGTGATATAGGGACCAATAGCTGAACTCCATCAACTTTATGTTTTTCTGTATTTTTGAGGAAGACTTTTGGTAATGAGGCACTTTTCAAACAATGAAAACATGCTGCTGGAGCAGAAAGAAAAGAGCCAAAAAAAAAATGCTAATATTGAATAACTACCTCTGTGACCTGGTAAGAATAGAAAGACATATATGATATAGGGAAGAAAGTATTTATAGTCTTCTGAATACCATTCCTGATATATTAAGGTAAATATTAATAGGAAGTTACTTAAAAGAAACTTTTGGAATGGGAAGTTGAAGGGTGGTCTTTGCATCTATGCAAAGAGCTGTTTGAAAAATGTAAAAAATGTTAGTAAGTGCATCAAGACATTTCTGTTTTACTTGGAGAGACTAAGACAGTGTTATGTTGTGGATGATACATGGTATTCTGGAACAAAATTGGAATGGTTTCTAATTCTAGAGACAACTTCAATCTTGTAAGTTAAGACCTCTGACAGTTAAAATATTTTATCTGTTCTTTACAAGGGAAAGATATCTATCTATCTATCTATCTATCTATCTATATATATATATATCTTTATATCTTTTATATATATATAAAGCCCAGTGTCACAGGAACAATTCTGTTATTTATAAAATGAACTTCATATTGAGAGTGTGTAACTTACAGTGTCACTGGAGTACAACTACAGGAAAGAGCATTGCAGCTCCCTAAAGTGAAAGTTTCATATATGGTAGGTGCATTTTTGGAGGAGTTAAATGCCAGATTCTTAAATGCTTAGGATTCATTATTTGGATCAGATTGTGAAAATCATCAAGATGAGAAATGCTACAAGTTCGGCCCTTGAGAGTGTTTTGTCCATTGCTTAGTATAACCTCCAGTTCTGATGCCTAATTAAGTCTTACCAGTTTTGAAAAGTTAGTGGACCGTATGTTAAATTGGTACATGTGCCTTAAATTGTTCAAACTACTTTTTTTCTTGTGAGTACCTGTAGAAACAAATAGGGAAGAAAAAATGGGAAAAAAAAGGTAGCTGGTGAGTGTTATGTTTTACAAGTGATAAATAATTCTGTATTTCTTGTTTTCTAGTAAATATTGTCAATAGAGTTTTGGGAGTGATTCAGCTCATCAACCAGTAAGCGCAGGGATAATGTTTTAGCATCCTGCTGCCACTCCAGAAGGCAGCAGATCTTTTGCGGGTCCTTTCAGTCAACTTGATGTGGACATCGCAAAACCCTTCAGTGGCTCAAATGACTCAAATGTGAGCAGCTGAATTGAGCTGTAGGTATCTGGTTTTGGAGAAGGCTCCATTGACTCTATTGTCTATATCTCAATTGACTGAAATGGGACACAGCTTTCAAAGTGAGCCCCTTCATGTAGCATCCTAGATACAGGTGTCCCTAAAGTTTCATCTCTAGCTGATGTGTCAAAACTGCATTTAGATACTTAGATTCAAATGTGTTGATTTCAAAGTGGAACCTGCACAGTTTCTTCCTGATACTTAATTTTAGAAAAGCAAAGTCACTCAGATTTTTTTTTTTTGTTTGTTTATTTATTTGTTGGGAAACAATGAGCCTCCTTACAGTACAAGCCAACACCAGATTCTCTAGATATATCTTTAATTAAGTGGAATTAAGTTTGTTCTGGTTTTGTTTCTGACAAGGTTTTGGAAAAATACTGGACAGTATCCTAGATTATTTCTATTGCCAGGATTATAATGCAATAAATTCTGTTTCTTTGCTGTGTCATGTAGACCTGTACAAAAGTGGCATTTTGCAAATTTTACAAAACAGCTCTGAACACATTTTTGCACATTTCCTTTTTTGAGAAATTTTAAAATGAAGTCTAAATGTAAAGTTAATATTGTACCACAGACAAAATCCATCTTTTCTACACAAAATCTCTAGTAAGGAAGACAGTTTATATTGATATTCCAGCACCATATCACTATGACTTTGTAGAGCTACAGAGTCTTTCAATTTATTATTAGTAGCATTTCCATTTATTATTGCAGCTAGTTTTTATAAAGATAAAAAATTACTATGGACTATATTATTGATTGTAGAATTATGAAGCAAGAATACAAAAAATGAGTTGAGGTATTAAATTAATTTATTTTCAATTTCTGTGTAATTCCATCCCATGTTTTGTTGGGGTTAAAGGGTATTTTACAAATGAATTTATAAAGCCAGTATATATAGTTTTCTCATAGAGTTTGTCAGCTATGTCATGTTATATGTGAATAAAACTCATTATGTGTTTTGTTTATGCAGTAATTATATTTTGTTGTCCTGTGCATTCCTTTTGCTCTCTGCATCTCATAATACATGCTGTAAAAGCATACATAAATAAATAGGATAAACAAATTAAGCTGTTTAAATAAATTAATTTACTCTGCAGCTCTGTATTCAAATCTTATGTGCTCACTGGATTTCATTTTAATTAAACCCTTCTAAGAACAATACATTGTATGCCAAACAGTGAAATTATATATTAAATGAATGATTAAATATACCATGTTCTAATTTATACCAAATCTGTACGCTATGAATGCTTAAATCCTCCTAAATCTGAAGAAATAAATCTTCTACATTCTGAAAACATCTGCATTATAATCCTCCTCTTGAATACCCGGTTCATGGACATATAAACACAATCAAAGTCATAATAAGCCTAGAGCTATGATGTAGTTAAACTGTCCTCATCAATGTTTGTGACTTAAAATCCCAAGACTTTAAAAGTGGAATCCACTTAAATGTCTTGAAGCATTGCTCTGAAAGGTCTTCTCGTGCTCCATCAACAGGCTCACTGAATTCTTTTGCAATCAGAATCTCAGGTTTAGCAAATATTTATTATGAAGCTTACCTGGAACAATTCTATTGATTACTGTAGATGGTCATGCTACTGAGTTTCATACGAATGCATTCAGAGAAATAAATATTCATCTAGCTACTATGCATGAAAAATAATGACTGCTGCAAAAGCACTTTATTGTGTGAGGAATGTCGTGCTCTTTTCAGGAAAACTTGTAGGCATTTTCACCAGCAAGATTTCCTATGTGTTATTAAACACATACTAATTGTATTATTTCATTACCAAAAGCCTTCAGCTGAATGGATACAGTTTGTTGGTTTTGATTTCTGGGTTGGTTTTTGGGGGTTTTGGGGTTGTTTTTTTTTTTGCAGCATTTCAATTGTTTCCTAGTTCAACATTTTCAGTCCCCCCCAGAAGATTCCCTTATAGGAACTACTTATTGTTATCACTCTTTGACCAAACCAGCCTAACTCACACCTGTTTTAGCAATGACATAGAGTCTTGGGAGCTATTAGTAATAAAGACAAAACTGCAGGGAAAGACACAGAATTTTCTGGAAAGATTTTGCTCTCAGCTCCCTTTGTTTATTGTTTCTGTCAGCGTTCTGTGTAAATATCAAGTATATCTACCTGCTACTTAGTGACAGTTCTCACATAGCAGAAGTGCATTTCAAACCATCACTGTCCTCATGCTCTAATTTTCAAAATGAAGGAACATCTTAACGAGCATTGTAGCTCCTCCTGGATACCATGCCAGGTTTTCCCCTGGACAGAAAAATATTAGTAGGTGTTTTTCCCTATTTTGAAGTAGTGATGTGGCCAAAGATGATAACCAGTCTTAGAAAAAATGTGGTTCATTCCAGATTTCTGCACCACAGTATAAACAAACTTGTGGACTTTCATCAGCTATGTTACTGGTATAGGTTCAG